CACACACACACACACACACACACACACACACACACACACACACACAGAGGCACACACCACAAGCAGCTCTCTACTGCATGTGCACAGACACACAGGGACACACACACAAACTACAGCTGTCCCTCAAGATCCAAGCCGCACTCACCCTCCACCAGTGAAGTCAGCAGGGTCACATTGGCAGCCTTCCGACGGCCAGCTGGCAGATTAAGCCCAATCTTTTCCAGCCGTTCCCGTAGACACCGGCCACCATTCTTGGACTTGGCCCTTGACATGCAGAGAGAAACACACACATACACACACAACTATGAAGACAACAAAGAAGCCTACAGGCTAAGTGACCCCCAAGGGCCTTGTTGACTCTCTCAACCCCTATTGAGGTTTGTGTCTGTTCTTAGAGATTCTCTGGGGTCTCTTTGAGCACTATCTCAACATCTCTCTAACCTTGCTCTGGTTTTTCAGTCTTCTCCACCCAGCTCCAAGAGTCATTCCTTCCCAGGCTTCTTAACAGAGTGAGGCAAAACAGAGCAGCATCTTAGGCTCTTCCCCACCTGAACACATTTATTGGGGCTACATAGGCTCTTATACTGACATTCAGAGAGCCAGAAAGTACACACACACACACACACACACACACACACACACACACAGATACAACAGATAAACACACACTGATGATCAAGGCTATAGAGACATATACACACCAGTAGAGAACACACATGCAGAGATGTACAACTGACAGACATCATCCATGGACACAGACATATTGGCAACAATTCAGGTGCCAGAGACACCTACAGACACTCAGGGGCAGGAGGGGTGGGGTTAGAGGTGTGACTGAAGTGGTAAAGCACCAGTCAAGGAGCAAAAGCATAAATACCAAGTCCTGGACTCAGACTAAATAAATAACCAACTCCTTGCAGTACAGGCACTCAAGACTCACACAGATCCCTCTGGGATGCTAGAAGAGACTAGGAATGAGGAGATAGCACAGTCACACAGAGACAGCCCCACAAAGGAACAGGCATATAAATATACACACAACTAGCTGCAGATGCGTGCGTGTGCGCACACACACACACATACACACACACACACTCCCACTAACAGTTAACAAGGCCATCTCCTTAAGCAGAAATACCCTTCCCAGACACAAAGGCATGCAAAGAGAGAAACACACACAATGACAGAGACAAACCATGTTCTCCACCCTCAAAACAAGAAGTGCAGGAAGGAGAAGATGGTACTTCCAAGAGCCAGCCTTACCCATCCTGCCCACTGAGTCCTCCAGCCCTTCTTTCTCTGTCATTTTCCCCACCCCTAAGGCCCTAAGACCTGTGGGAGTGGCTGGGAACCTGGGCCTGTCCCTAGAGTCCCTGGGCTCTTTGTCTAACAAGGAGACCAAGGCAGAGATGACACTAGGGCATAGGAGGAAGCTTAGCCCTTCGCTGATGCCTTAGTCATGAGACTTTGGCTGGGGTGCTGTGGGGGGGGTTGTGGGCTAGCCTTCCTACCTGCGGAGGACACCCCCCAGGAGGGAGGCGTTGAGGCACTCGGGAGGCGAGAGTCGCCGCTGTACCTCCCCCACGGTCACCTTGTACTTGGATGTGGAGCTGAGCAAGGAGAGGCGGCCAGGCACGGAGCAGAAGACCTCACTGGGGTTGGTAATGCCGCCAACCAGGCTGTCTTTGGCCAATGAGAGGGCCGAGAGGCTGCTGGCTTTGGAGGGCATGGGGACTGTGGAGCAGAAGCAAGGAAGGAGAGAGATGAGGATACTGAGCCAGCGACTGGACAGCTGTACAGCAGGCACCCTGATGATACATCAACCATGTATGTTGAAAGATTTCAATACCTTCTGAAGGAGGTCTTGTTATCCCTGCTTTACAAGGGAGAAACTGAGGCATGCTGAGATGACAGTGATATACCCAAGCCTACTCAGCTGATGGTCATTGACCCTGAACCCAGAGCTAACTGGCTTTTTGGGTTTTTGTCTTTTAGTTTTAGCTTTTTTGGCACTGGGGATCAAACCTAAGACACTGTACTTGCTAGGCAAGTGCGTTGCCACTGAGCTACATCCCAGACCTAGCTGACTGGCTCTGAACTTCATGTTCGCTCCCCGATGACAGGCTGATTCACATTTTTTGTTTTGTTTTTTGTTTTGTTTTGGTCGGTAGTGGGGCTTGAACTCTGGGCCTGGGCGCTGTCCCTCAGCTCTTCAGCTCAAGGCAAGCGCTCTACCACTTGAGCTACAGCGCCACTTCTGGTTTTCTGGTGGTTTATTGGAGATAGGAGTCTCACGGTCTTTCCTGCCCGGGCTGGCTTTGAACCGCGATCCTCAGATCTCAGCCTCCTGAGTTGCTAGGATTACAGGCGTGAGCCACCAGCGCCCGGCTGATTCACATATTTTGGTTTTATTTAGTTGGTTTGTTTTCTTTTTTTAACTGGGTCTCACTATGTAACCAAGACTAATCTCAAACTCCTGATCCTCCTGCTTACTAAGTGGTGTGACCACAGGTGTATCCCACCAAACTAGGCTCCTGATTACATCTAAAAATGCAGCTGCAGCAGAGTGTTGGCATTCTAATTGGGCCATCAGAGAGGGAGCTGGGCATGAAGAAATGGAGTCTTTGCTGGGTACCAATGGTTCATACTTGTAATCCTAGCTACTCAGGAGGCTGATATCTGAGGATCATGGTTCAAAGCCAGCCTGGGCAAGAAAGTCCACGACGCTCTTAACTCCAATAAATTACTCAGAAAAAGCCAGAAGTGGCACTGTGGCTCAAAGTGTTAGAGCACTAGCCTTGAGTGAAAAAGCTCAGGAACAGCACTCAGGACCTGAGTTCAAGCTCCATGACAACAAAAAAGAAAGGAAGGAGAGGGGAGGGGGGTAGAGGGAACTGGAGGGGAGGAGAGGGGAGGAGAAAGGGAAGGGGAGGGAAGGGGAGTCTGAGCTGGAGATTCTTGGGTCGGTGCAACAGGCTCCAGCCAGTCTGGGTGTCAGAGGGAGTCCCCCAACCCCCTCTTCCTACTACGATCTCAAGTCTTCATGGGATCAGAGGCCCTGGGGCTTTGGACTTCCACAGGTTATAGTCCTGTAAGCTCCAAGCCCTGTTTTCATTCCTGCTGGCCACCCTGCGAGGTTCCAGGAGATAGGGACTAAAAAGACAGATCCTACAGTGCCCTCCACAATTATCTATAAGGGCCAGAGAAGGGAATCAGAGAAGTTAATTTCCTGAACTATTGACACTAAAAGAAAAATTTTAGGTTGGAGGAGTGGCTCAGTTGATAGAGTACTAGTCAATGAAGGAAACTATCAGGAACTGCTGAATTTGAGTTCTGGTATCAGACCAAAAAACGGAAGGAATGAAGGAAGGAAGGAAGGAAGGAAGAGAGGGAGGGAGGGAGGGAGGGAAGGAAGGAAGGAAGGAAGGAAAGAGAGAAAGAAAGAAAGAAAGAAAGAAAGAAAGAAAGAAAGAAAGAAAGAAAGAAAGAAAGAAGGAAGGAAAGAAAGAAGGAGAAAAGTTCTTGCCAGGAGTAATGGCACATATCTGTAATCTCATATGCCAGGGAAGTTGAGGCAGGAGGATTTTGAGTTTGAGGACGGCCCAGGTAAAGGTAATGGCAAGACTCTGACTCAAAAATAAAAGCAAGGGGCTGGGAAGGTGGCTCAGTGGTAGAGCACTTACTCTGCATGCTCAAGGTCCTGGGTTCGATTCCTTAGCACCACATAAGCAAAAAGAAAAAAGCCGGAAGTGGCGCTGTGGCTCAAGTGGTAGAGCGCTAGCTTTGAGCTGAAGAGCTGAGGGACAG